TGTGTTTTCTTAAAATATCATAACAAGTATATTTCGTGCAACGGACTGGTAAAAATACTAGTTACCTTTAAAACAAGGAAGGGGTATTAGGACTCTATATATTTGAGTCACATTATGACTCCCTATCCTAGTCTCCCTATGATTCCTACTTCTTATCCTAGTCTCTCTATGATTCCTCTTGTATATATTCCCCCAGTCTGTACAATTATTATACAACTCATTCAATACAGTTTTATACAGTTATCATCTACTATCAGTTAGCTAGGGTTCATAATAATTATTATTGTCGTCATTAGTAATAATTATAACCGTAGTAGCAGTCGATGACATCGAACCAAGATACACCTATGAGAAGCCGTCCAGTTAGCAACGTGGTTTTAAAGTTCAGTGTCAAATTTGTGACGGTTTCAGCCACATGGGCGCCAATTGTTTTCGGTGCTTTGACGAACAGTGTCAAATTTGTAATGGTTTCGGTCACACGGGAGCCAATTGTTTTTGGCGCTATGATGAACAATGTTAAATTTGTAATGGTTTCGGTCACACGGGAGCCAATTGTTTTCGGCGTTATTCAGGGGCTCTGGGTTCTCAGACTAATTTGGTGTTTCAGAATTGGTTGGGTGCTAAAACCTCGTCAAATTCTCATACTTGGGTTCCGGACAATGGAGCCACAAATCATGCAACTCCAGACATAGCTAGCATTTCTACCACACTGGTAATGACACTTTAAGTTTCGGTGATCGTATGAGTCTGTCTATTAGTCGTGTTGGTCATGCAACTTTTAATACCCCTTCTAGGTCTTTTACGATGTCTGATATATTGCATGTTCCTGGTCTGTCTACCTCTAATGGTTATCGTTATTTTTTCATCTTTGTTGATGATTATTTTCGTTACACCTGATATTTTCCTATGAAGTAGAATCTGATCTTTATGTCGTATTTGATCAATTTTGTGCTTTATTTGAGCGTTCTTCAATCGTAAAATCAAGTCCATTCAATCTGATCTAGGAGCTGAATATAAGAAGTTGCATTCTTTGTTTGTGCAACTAGGCATTAATCATAGGTAGTCGTGTGCATACACACATGAACAAAACGGTCGTGTCGAACGAAAACATAAACACATAGTTGAAACAGGTTTATCTCTCCTAGCCCGTGCCTCTGTTCCATATAAATTCTGAGATTTTACTTTTGAAACTGCAGTTTATTTAATTAACAAAATGTCATCTGTTGTGTTAAATAACTTCTGTCCTCATTTAAAATTGCATAACTCCCATCATTTCTACTCTTTTCTTTGTGTCTTTAGGTGTCTATGTTACCCGTATCTCAGACCATACAATTGTCACAAAATGTCATATCGGTCCTCTCCATGTGTCTTCCTAGGTTATCCTGAGTCGTTTCGGGGGTATAGGTGCATGGACTTACAGACTAACAAGACTTATGTGTGCAGACATGTAAGGTTTGATGAGGTAGTATATCCCTTTGCTACTAAAAATAAATTGCAGGCCTCTCAACCGGTACAGACTTATCCGTGGGCTGAATCGGTTCTTTGTCCGAGTGCTACCGTCGTTGCCCCGCCTGAGCAGTCTCACGGCAGCACCAATGTTGCACCTAGCGGCGACTCAGCTGCACTTCCTTCGTCGTTGCACACCGCCAACGAACCAGCTAGCCTGCCCGAGCACGAGCCGCATGACCAACTTGTCCAGCCGACTGCACGGCCTCGTGGCAGACCTCGGGGCAAATATGTGAAGTCCACCGTCCGGACTCATGTGATGAGCACTCGGAGTAGGTCACAGGCTCCACCATCAGCTTTAACGGTTCAGGCTTGTCCTTCGGATCCCACTTGTTAAACTCGGGCAATTAAGTACCCAGAATGGCGTGAAGCCATGGATCAGGAATTTAATGCCTTCCTTCATAACCAAACATGGTCTCTCGTACCATCACAGGCAAGTATGAATATTATTGGATGTAAGTGGGCCTTTCGTACAAAACGAAAGGCAGATGGCTCTATTGAGAGACATAAGGCAAGACTAGTAGCAAAAGGGTTCAATCAGGTGCCTGAGCAAGATTTCTTTGACACCTTCAATAAGTGGTCAAGACAACTACTGTTAGGTTACTTTTTCTTTGGCTTTATCATCTGGGTAGACTGTTAGGCAACTTGATGTTCATAATGTCTTTTTAAATGGAAATCTATATGAAATTATGTACATGAAGCAACCACCTGGTTATATTGATGCTCAGTATCCAAATCACATTTTCTTGCTAAAAAGGTCTCTTTACAGATTAAAACAGCACCTAGGGCTTGGTTTAATCGTTTTCACACCTTCTTACTATCTATTGGTTTTGAAGCATCAAAAACGGATGTATCCTTGTTTTACTACTCATAAGGATCTGATTGTGTATATCTATTAGTTTATGTGGATGATATACTTATGATGAGAAGTAATCAGGATCTAGTTACTCAGTTAGTGTCAAAACTTTCTACTGCATTCAAATTAGAGATCTTGGTGAACTTGGATTTTTTCTTGGAATTGAGACAGTTAAATGCAATTATGAAATTTTTCTTTCACAACAGAGGTAAATGAATGACATTCTAAAACGTGCTGGAATGGCATAATGTAAAGAACTATCTACTCATATTTCTACTTTGAAAACCATGGTTATTGATGCAACATTGTACGATGATCCTACACAGTACAAGTGTTTGGCTGGTGCATTACAATATTTAACTGTCACTCTTCCTGATCTTTCATTTTCAGTCAATCAGTTGTGTCAACACATGCGTGCTCCTACAGTTTCACACTGGGAACAATTAAAAAGAGTTTTGAGGTATGTTAAATGAACTGTTACTTTTGGTTTACGAATCAAAAAGTCATCTTCAAGGAAAATTCATGCCTTCTCTGATTCTGACTGGGCTAGCTGTCCGAAGGACCGAAAATCTACAAGTGGCTTTGCTGTGTTTCTTGGCTCTAATATTGTGTCTTGGTCTGTAAAAAAACAAAGAACTGTGGCTAGATATTCTACTGAGGCTGAATATAAAGCTCTAGCATATGTTTGTGATGAAGTAACTTGGATCGTTTCACTACTGCATGAGATCAAAGTTTCAGGTATCTCTGTCCCTAAACTATGGTGTGATAATCTTGGTGCTACTTATATGTGTGCAAATCCCATCTTCCATGCTCGTACCAAGCACATTGAGATAGATTATCACTTTGTTCGAGATAAAGTTGCTGCTGGAGATATTCAAGTCAATTTCATCTCAACAAAAGATCAACTTGCAGACATATTCACAAAAAGCTTTGCCTAGTTCTAGATTTTCTTTTCTTAAAGACAAGCTACAGGTTACTAGCATACCATGTGCTTGAGGGGGAGTATTAGGACTAGTCTCCTTAATGATTCCCACTTCCTATCCTAGTCTCTCTATGATTCCTCTTGTATATATTCCATGTCCGTACAGTTATTATACAATTCATTCAATACAGTTTTATATAGTTCTCATCAGGAGGCGAGGGGCAGGGGAGGATGATGAAAGATTTATTATTTATTATTTATTTTTTTTGTTGGGCGGAGTAGGAGATGAAGGAAAATAATTATTGTTAATAATGTGTTTTTGCAAGAGAAATTCAGAGATTTTACTAGAAGGTAGAAATTTGGGTTCCACCTTCGAAATATTTATACATAACAATAGTTATGGTTATTGAAAAAACTTGACTCATCATGATTTTTTTTCTTAATTTTAATTTTTAAAAATTTCAACCATTGGTGAATTCCACCTACTTGCCAGTTGCCACGGTGGTAGAAAACGCCAATAACCCCATCTGCTATCTGTAGCGAAATAGTCTTACGATATTTCTGGAAAAAATACAAGCACAAGTTAAAATGTAGAGAACCTCTTTATTCAATATGTTTTGAAAAGACTCTTATATATATAGTGGTGCAAATTTCCTTCTTTTTTTTTTTCATCTTCATTTTTCAACTCAAATGGGTTTATTCTGAGAATCAATTTCTCATTCACCCATTATTCATTTTGAGTATATAATACTATAATATATCAATCTCTTCGTCTCACTTCAAAGAATCCAAATCCACTTTTACCTGATCCAAATCAAATGTGAATCCACATATATTTGTACCACAAAATAGTCACTTTATTGTATTTTTCCAACACTATCATTACTAGTCTAGTTCTCCAAAATGTTTGAAAATCTTATTAGGTGCTTAGTATTACTGAACACTTGTATATGTGACAAAATGACAAATGTTTTTTCAGATACCAAAAAGGTCAAAAAGGTCAATTTTTTATTCACAAACCATCGCTTTTTATCACTTTTTGGCAATCAAAAAACAAAGATTTTGTAAGAATGAATGAACTCAATAAAGAACCATATGCACTTCTATGGAGAAATTCTATTATACTTTATGTATTCAAATATTGCCCAGAAACATAGGGGTCGTTTACCAATTTGAAAAAATGGAGAAATTGAGAAATGGAAAATATAAAAATTGGAGAAGTTGTTTACTAAATTTCTTCTTCCAAATGCTTACTCCTTCTCCAATCTCCAACCTTCTCCAATGAAGGGAAAAAGATGCGCATGAACAGTGCATACTATTGAGTGGCCTCCGGTTCGAATCTTGTTCTGTGCATAGTTAAAGGAGATGCCTTCACTTTGCCTATTCTTTCATTCTTCTTCTTTTTAATTACTTATTATTATTTGTTCTTTTTCTTTTCTTTTGTTCTTCTTCTTTCTTATTCTTATTATTATTTGTTCTTCTTCTTTTCTTTCGTAGAAATGTTATATGGGATTTTTGTATTTAATGAAATCAGAAAATTAGAAAAATGAAAAATTGTATGAATAGGGAATAAAAATTGGAAAACTGGAGAAATGAAAAATTGGAGAAATGGAAAAGGAAAACTTGAAGAATGGAAAAGGAAAACTGCAAAAATGGAGAAATGAAAAACTGGAAATGGAAAAACAGAAGAATAAAGTAAACGACCCCATATACTTCCCCTAAATAACAATAAGTGATTTTTATTTATTTAATTATTTCTTTAAAAGACAAAACACAGAGACACAATCTAGGACGACCATAGTAGATCAGAATACACTTGAGAATCTCTCAAAATATTTATGTACACAAAATAAATAGATCCTATAAATTGGGATATAATGATATGAAGGTGACACACAACAAGTAGATCTATATATATGTGTGCGTGCGTGTATATATATATATATATATATATATATATATATATATATATATATATATATATATATATATATTTTCCCTAAAAGGCATCGCAGTAACCCCCAAATGTGATGTGAGCTCTGGTGAATGGAACTCCCCTCACCGTTGATATGGCCTCGTTTAACTTGCTTGCATGCTGAACCACTTCCTTGATCCTCTGCAATTATGTTTTAATCCACTGAGGTAAGTGAAATGTCTTAATCATCACCACACCTTAAAAACATTGAAATATGTGTATTTGTAGTGTCATTATAACAAGTTAATTAAATAAATGCCAGATCAATAAGAGCATCGGATTTTTATAAGTATGTATTACATTTTGCATCCTAAATATTATAACTTTCCTAACTCTTTAACTTCTAACTATTATATTTTGATTTAAGAGTCAGTTTAGAAACTTAGAAAATGACTTCCAAAAATCATTTTCTAGATTTTTCCATGTTTTGGTATTAAAAAAAAAAAAATAGAGTCAAAGGAAAATATTTATTTTCCTAGTTTGATGAAAAATGTTTTCTTAAATTTTTAGTGGGAAAACATTTTTCACATTACTTATTTTCCTGTCTCTCTCTCTTCCCTCTTCATGCTACTTGCGGATTATTATTACCACCACCATTGTCACTTATTATTATTATTATTATTATTATTATTATTATTATTATTATTATTATTATTATTATTGTTGTTGTTGTTGTTGTTGTTGTCGTCGTAACAAATAACATATTCATTTTTAGGAAAATGAACCAAACAAAATAAAATGCAATTTCTTAACTTTTATCCAAATAAAAAAATATAATTTTTTGACATTTAGCCAAACACTACAAAATTAAAATATTTTTCATAAAATGATTCATTTTCTAGAAAATATTTTTAAAATTTTCAAAAATACCCTATAATTATTACATTTCCCTTAAAAGTATCACATTTATATTTAAACTACGAAACTAAACCAGACCCTGCTCATGAAAAAATGATCCTTAATTAAGAAATGAAACCATATATACTCGAATAAATTAAATTGAAGTTAATTGGCACCTATCCTAGATGATATCTAGCTATGATGATTCATCTGATCTGATCTGATCTGATATGCTGGGTAAAAAAAAAAAAAAGTATAATTAATTAGCAAACCTTATCGTGATGAGTATAGATTTGAAAGCGGATGTTGTGATTGTGGTGCTGCCTTTTGTGCTTCTGTTGATTTTCGATGAAAACGATGCATATAGTGGTGGCAGCAGCAACCCCAAATGAACAAATCGCTCCGATTCCACTCAAACTCCATTGCCACAAGTTGAACCCCCCGCCGCCGTCTTCGTTTTCTTGAATCCCCTCCTCCGACTCCGACTCCGGTGATGAAACAACATCCTTAGTATCCTCGAAAACTTCTCCTCCTCCTCCCCCTACATCATCATCATCACTAATCTGCGGCACAACTACTAGTGATGACCTGGGCGAGTCCATTTTCATATTCTCGGCTGCCGCCTGATGATGATGATCGTTCATTTTCTTGAAGCAGACCTGCGATATCTTGTCTTGCAGCGGTGTTTCTGAAACTTGGGATGGTTTTGTCGGTGTCGGGTCGAGGAATTGGGAAGAATAATAAGGTTTTGGAGGTGGAGGGCAGACGAAGTAGGTGTAGTTCATGTTGAAGTCAGTACCATCTGTGTTGTATTTTCTGGAGAAGATGTTCTTCCCAGATCCATCATCATTGATTTCAAGAAACCCATCCTCTGGCAACACTTCCCACTCCTCATCAACATCCATTTTTCTTTCTTTCTTTCTTTCTTTGTTTCACAGAAGATCAGAAGAAATTTAATGTGCAGAGAGTGTGGGGTTATAGTGCTGGATGGGCAGGGGTTTTAATTTATTGATTGGTAACCAGCTTAGTTGGTGAGTGGCCGTGCACTCTTGTCCCTTAATAAAGGTTGAGAGTTCGAACCCGCTCTCGTATATAAAAATCAATCTGGCCAGCACTTTACGCTTTATTTGAGTCGGCCTAATGCGAACGGGGATTAGGCACTTTGCCCTTTAATTTGGCTGTTCTGGTGCGAACAGGGATTAATCTGAGTATGGTACGGGTTTAAAAGTGTTTCTTACAATTAGAGCCTGCTCAAGACACTTTGTGGTCGGATAAAAAATACATTTATTTGATTGGTGAATTATTGATTTGGGATTCAAAGATGGAGGCTTTTCATGGATGGTAGTGAAGACCTCAATTCAAAGAAGGCCACAATGGTGTCTTCTTGCTCCAAGGGGGGAGAGTACTGTGAAGGTTAAGATGTAGGTGCAGTTCAGTGATTGGTTTGGGAGCTTATCCTTCACAAACCATGACAAATGGAGGGGTCCCACAAAAGACAAAACCACCACCCTTGATTGGTTTACAAGATATTTGTTAATTAGTCTTCTTTTAATAAATTGAATTGTTAAATTTGATTGCTTTGATGTCTCTTTGGATAAATGCTGAAATTAATAATACATACAAGATTGGAGTAAAAGTAGGTTCCCAATTGGCAAACTATTGATGTAGACCATGCTGCACATTATGGATATGATCACTGATAACTGATATTTTTAAGGGAAAATGACACATTTTTTCATATATTTATATCATTTTTTCCTTCTAAATTATTTAAGTTGCAGTTTTTCACCTTAATATGTTAAATGGACATATTTACCGTTAAATAAATATTTCATTTATTTTTCTTCTCCAACAAATTATAACAACAATTTGATTTAAACCGAACAGACACTATAGCAACCAAATAGAAAGGTTCTGATGACAATTTTGAATCGAAACCTGATATTTAGAGTTTATTAAAATCGCGAATTGAAACTGCCAGTTCATGTTCTGAATTGAAAAAATAAAATGCATTAATTGTTAAATTTAGAATATTTTAAAAATTAAAAAAAAAAACAAAATTTTAAAAGAAATTTTGAACCAATAGTTCAAATTGGATCCAGAATAGTCAACCAACGGTTTAAAATCAAAACCAAATCGCGATTATATATACTTATATTTGAGAATTAGAATAAATGCGAAAAAGAACATACACTATTTGTAAATATTATAATTTTAATTTTAAGTTAATGCTAATAGTTGTTCCAATTCGAACTTCCGGTTCACGGTTTAAGATCCAGTTTTTCAGTTCACGATTTTAATAAACTGAAACCCAAATATTGGGTTATTGTTCTGAATCATGACCGAAAAATTTCGATTTGATTGCTATAGTGTCCTGTTCAGTTCGAATCAAACCGTGGTCATCCCTACGTATAAGCAATAATTTGTTGAAGAAGAAAAATGAATAAAATATGTATTTTAAGGGTAGAATTGTCTATTTAATATATCAGGGGGGAAAATCGACACTTTTATAATAATTGATGGGCTAATGTGGATACATGAATAATTTAGGGGGAAAAAATGCTATAAACATATAATTCAGGGAGAAAAAATGGCATTTATCCTTTAATTAATATATTAAATGTTTATTTTTAATGTAATGAATGTTCGCTCAATATTCTAAAAATGAACATTTAGTATAAGTGATACACCTTACAATATAAAATATGGTCGAAGATATAATGATTATTCCCAATCTACCATGCTCTTCAATCTTCTTCATTTAGCTTTTTTGGTTTGTTGTTGTTGTTGTGTGCTTAAATGGAAATATTCTTTCTTTACATTTATTTAACTACTAGTATTTTCTATACACGATGCACACAAATATAATTGATGTCCAATATTAATATTTTATATTAAAATTTTAGATTTTAGATGATGATAATAATAATAATAATAATAATAATAATAATAATAATAATAATAATAATAATAATAATAATAATAATAATAATAATAATAATGTAAATCATTTTTATAAATTTGATATTTATATTTTAAGAAATAACTTATATAGTACTCCAATATATAACGTCTATATATTAGGGCATCCCCATCTGTGGTTTTTGAGGAGGCCATACTGAAGTGGAAGAGAGAGAGGGAGAGGACTGAGGAGAGAGAGGAATATTGGTCTTTGCTAAAGGATCAAGGTTTTTGTCCATTCTGTGGGCCCTACCGAGAAAGAAGACTAGGAATTGAACTCTGCTTCGCGTAAGGCGCAAATCTCACACCCAGCAGTGCACGCGCTTGACTAGGTGCGTAAATCTTTATTTATTTATTTATTTTTCAATTTTTGTTTTTGTTTTTTTTTTTGTTTTTGTTTTTTTTTTTCTTTTTACCCCCACCCCCACCCCCACCCTCCACCATCTTCTCTTTTCTAGCTACACTTGCAAAAACTCCTCAAAAACTACAACTATTGGTGATGTTTTTATTACCATTGAAGAAGATAAGAAAATATATGATGGATGCATGTGCATGACAACAATAGTTGAAAAAGATAATGAAAATTATAACGGTAGTGGTAGTTTTGACCAAAATATTGTATAGTACAACTCGAGCTTATAGCATAATGTATAAAAAAAATAGAAAAAACGAACATAAATGAAGAGTATAACTTTCATTTACACTTATTAGTTTTTAGATTTAAGAAAGAAAGGATATTAAATATATGACATCCTATTTTTAGAGATATGAAGGCTGACGGGATAATGATGAATTTATGTTAGTTCAAATAGATTTTCACGATCCAATCCTTGACTTTGGTTCAATTTAAAGGCATCACAAACTAATACATGGCCTTAGCAAAGTGTCTTGATCTGGTCTATGAAGTAAATAGCCGAGAGATGGTCTCGGCTCAACTTCAAGTGTCCTACTCGACAAGGGGTGTATAGGTGAGGATGTTGTGTGAATGCCTAGAGAAGCATCCTTAATGGCCATAAATTAAATCCATAATGACCATGTTTGGACAATGGTGAGTATTAACCTTGGACTCTAGCTAGGATTAACATTATTATAACAAAATTTTATTATGAATAATGTAATACTAAATGTACTTGAAATTATATTTTTCAATACAATTTCATTTAATCAATTCATAACAAAATTCATCAATTATAGATTCTATGTTACGAAATCACGTTAACGAATATAAATTAAAATGTACAACTTTAGATGGAGATTGCTTGTGGGAGTGTATAAGAAACGGAATGGAGCGTGGAGACCACGAAATGGGTAGAGGGAAAAATATTTTTTACGAAATGAAAGTGAAATGCTAAATATCCATGGATTTCGGGATATTTGTTAACATACTGACAAAATGAAATTCCGGAATTTTTGCAAAGTTTTTGAGCCACAAATTCACCATGGAGAAGTCCCACACTAGGAAAGGAGTGCAAAGAAGTATACATTGACGCTAACACAAGTTGACTATGTACATTTTGGCCTAAAACATGTTCCTAGCTAGGGTGGGATGGTAGGGCAATTTATATCCTGCACTAGGGCGTGCATTTTATTGTGCTCTCTGACGCAAAACGACATTGTTTCAGTTTTTTTTTTTTTTTTTTTTTTTTTGAAATTTCGTTATTTTGTGTTGGCGGTTAATTTTCTTTAAAAAAAAGATCTCATGTTTAAAAATGTATATAATTTTATACTAGAATACACATAATTGTATACATGAATGTACATAATTGTATAACAAAATACACATACTTAAAAAAAAAAAAAAGATAATACATATAATCTAACATAATACATAATATACATAAACTTTTAACATAATAAACATCAATTCTTAACATAATAGTGTAATACACATAAATTTTCTGTTTCGAATGTACATAATTGTATAAAAAAAGATGTACATGATTGTATAAAAAATGTACATAATTATATAAACAAATACACATAATTGTATAAAAAAAATACACATAATTATATAAAAAAATACACATATATATATAAATAAATACACATAATCATTGCTCAAAAAAAAAAAAATACACATAATCATATCAACTCCCTACAAATTTTCAAAAAAAAAAAAAAAAATATCAACTCTCTACAAAACTTACCAAAACGCTATCATTTTGGAAGACACGAGACGCACAATATTATGCGCGCTGTGATGCAGGATATAACGATCCGGGATGGTAGCAATATAATGCTAATTGGGCTAGCAAGGGACCAGAAAGCGAATGATTGCAAATTTCCACATGTTTTATTTTTATTAGGAAACGAAAATGTTATATGCATTCATGTGCCGCAATTAGCGATTAATGGGGGTTGACGGATGGTGAATAATAATATAATATATTCTTCCCAAAATGTTGAATTCCGCAAATTATGTTGTGTAATCGTGTGTATCATGTATGTTGCACACGGTTGTCAAAACGACGTCGTTTTCACTAAAAACGCACGTCTCACTTAAAAAAAAAAAATCAGGTTTGATTTTCGACAATAGCATTTTTTTGTGCATAATTTGAATTATATATCCACAAATTCATAAATATATATCCACAGTGAATTAATAACACAAAATCCAGAATGAATGAACTAAATATCCACAATGAATAAACTGAATATCCATAAATTCATAATTATATATCCACAAATTCATAACTATATATCCACAAATTCATAACTATATATCCACAATAATGTTGTTGAGGGGAATCGAAACTGATTTTTTTTTTTAAAATGGGGCGCGCGTTTTTAGTCAAAACGACATCGTTTTGCAACCGTGTGCACCATGCATGGTGCACACGGTTGCACAACATAACTATTGGTTGAATTCCCAACCCCAAGGACCCTTCACACCCCGGCCCGACAGAGTATCTGGGAGTATGTAAATCGTGGTAACTCAATTGAACCATAGAGGCTAGACTTTTGCTTACTGCGCACAAGGAACCCCCTCACGTCATAAATTATATTAGTTGTCTACACGAGCAATTCAA